GATTCCGAGGTGGAAGTGGGAGGAAGTCACGATGGATTTCGTTACGGGATTGCCGAAAACGTCTGAACATCACAACGCTATCTGGGTCGTGGTCGACAGATTGACTAAGGTCGCGCATTTCTTACCCGTTTCTATGAAGATGTCTCTGGACAAGTTGGCTGAGATATATACCCGTGGGATCATCCGACTCCACGGAGTGCCCGTCACTATTGTACCAGACAGAGATCCCAGATTCGTCAGTCGATTCTGGCACAGTTTACATGAGGCGATGGGCACGAAGCTAGAGTTCAGTTCAGCCTACCATCCGGAGACGGACGGTCAGTCAGAGCGGACTATTCAGACGCTTGAGGATATGCTTCGTGCTTTGGTTGTTGACAGGGGTGCTAAGTGGGAGTCGCTGTTGCCGTACGCCGAGTTCGCGTATAACAACAGCTACCATTCTTCTATTCAGATGGCTCCGTACGAGGCACTTTACGGTCGCAAGTGTCGTTGCCCTCTCTATTGGGACGACGTCGGAGAGCGACGAGTACTCGGTCCTAAGTTGATCGAGGAGACAGTAGATCAGGTCGAGTTGATCCGGCAGAGACTCAAGACAGCTCAGAGTCGACAGAAATCGTCCGCCTATCATCATCGACGAGACATTCAGTTCGAGGTTGGCGAGCCAGCCTTTCTCCGAGTTCGTCCGATTCGCGGAGTTGTGCGATTCAGAAAGAGAGGGAAGCTGCACCCTCAGTTCATCGGTCCGTTCGAGGTTCTCGAACGAGTAGGCGAGGTCGCGTATCGATTAGCCCTACCTCCCGAGTTATCAGGCATTCATAATGTATTTCACGCATCGATGTTGCGTTAGTACGTGTGCGAACCCCGATCATGTTATTCCCCACTCAGATATTCAGGTTCAGCCAGATCTTTCGTACGAGGAGCGACAGGTAGCTGTATTAGACCGTCAGATTCGTCGGCTCCGGAAGCGAGATATTCCCCTCGTGCGTATTCAGTGGGATCGCCACGGAGCTACTTGGGAGGAGGAGTCCGATATTCGCGCTCGTTTTCCAGATTTTCATTTCTGATGTACATGTTTTCTTGTTCTATGTACATAGTTCATGTATTTTTAGTTATGTTCTGAATTTCCGGGGACGGAAATTTTGTAAGGAGGGAGGATTGTATTATCCCGTGAATTTCAGTATAAATTATATTTTTTTTAGTTCTGATATTAATTTTTGGAATTAATTATTTTCAGTCATTTCAGTCGAAATTACCGGAAAATTATTTCGACGTACCGTTTACGTTCGGAATAATTTTGGTAATTAAGTGTTATGTTTAATTTAATAATTAAACATAATTAAGTGATTAATTTATAATTAATCATGAGATTAGTGTTAAAATTTTCGGAGTTTATTTAATGATCCTCCAAATTGCCGTAAGCATTGTGAGGAGTGGGATTTATTTGGTTCCAATTTTTCTTCTTCTCAAGGAAACTTAACGTGGCATTAAGAGATTTAAGAGGGAAGCTTAGTCATCTAAGGATTATTTTAGTAAGTCCAAGTGTCATTAGATGGAATAATCCCACCTTAAAGCCTTTCATTCGGTGCTAAATATATAAGGAGGTTGGGAGGAAAATTTTCAACTTTATCCATACATATAATAAGCCTAAGTTCAGCCTATATATATATATAGTTCCGAGAGATAAGTGAAGCTGGTGAGGATTTTTGGAGTGTTGTTCGTGAGCAATTGCCGAGAGCTTTCCACAAGCCGTCGCACATCCGAGCCATCGCGCACGTACCGCAAGCAGTTCGCGCACCGTAGGCTATCGCAAGCAGCAATTGTCGCACTCGTAGCAGTAGTTCTTCACGGCAGTCAACACATTGTTCATCAGTCAGGAGTACGCAAGCATCTGCGAGTGTTGTAGAAGTCCGTCGCGCGTACCGCAAGCCACCGCACGGCGTCGCACACACGCGGAGGGTCACGGCCGAGTACGGGAATTCAAAAAGATTAGTCACTTGGGCTTAATCAGAGGTAATTCCCGACGGTTGTTGACCAAGAATATCATGTTTATTACGTTTAATTTTTAGTTAAACATGCATGCGTGTTATATGTGGTAAAAGTCGTAGCCGTGCCGATCATGTTATGTTCTAAGTAAATTCTCCGAACTATCCTCGCATATTTAGCCTTTATATGCCAAATCATGTTTAGTTTAACTTAAATGTTCGGATGAT